TTTGCAATTTTTGTAATGTGTATATATATATATATATATATATATTTGTTTTCTAAACCGAACTGTACATGAATTTTTCTATTGTACTTATTATGCTATGTATTTTTTTTTTATATAATCATCACATTTAGATTTTGAAGAGTAGATAACATTTTATCCCAATTTGAAAGTAGATTTTAAAAATGGCATTTTCTTGTATATCCATTATCCACAATTGGCTATCACTTAAAGTGGAGCTACACATGAAAAGTTAGGTATTGTATGGCAATTGGCAAGTCTTTTTAGGAAGATCTTCTGATAGATTAGATAACTTAGTTAGACAAAAGACATACATGTCAAGTTTTTTGGCTCTTTTGGGTTTTTCTACACTGGAACCGGATCTAGTAGGCACAACAAAGGAAGCACGTTAAATGAGCACTGATAGATGTTTTGACAACTGTCAAAAATGGATATTAATCCTTTTCAAGTGTAGGCTGGGGGTATTATAGGTTGTATTTGGTTTGAAGGAAAAAGTAGAGAAATGAAAGGAAAGGTAGAGAAACCCATACAAGCTTGTTTGTAAAGGTTCCCCTACCTTTTCTTTCTTTTCCCTACTTTTTCCTTTAAACCAAGCATAACCTTAAGGAACAGGTGTCAAAAAAATTTCCAAGTGCTCATTTACCGTGCCTACTTGATCCGAGCTGTGAGTCTGTCACCGTGTGACCATGCCTCTTATGGTCTTTCTGGCTTTCGGTTACAAAACAAAAAAAAGATCGACTTTTGGGCTTCCAAACTTGTCAAAACCCAAAAGACGGCATGAAAGCATTTGCCAAATACCGCCTTAGTCTAAAGGGTACTTTTCCCCACATTAAAAAAAAAAAAAACTTCATCTGATCTCTCTTCAACAATAATAAAAGTCAATTTAAATGCCATCGGAAATCTAAATAACATACTAGAAGCAGAGGTTGAATGCAAAGAAGACTCACTCAAAATTTCAATCAGAAGTAAAATTTTACAAAAATTTTGGTTAATATATGACAAAATTCAGAAACCTCCATATCAGTTACATCTTCGGGTTGGATGTTTTTGTTTCTTTGTAAAATCTAAAATAAAGAATATTTTTTCAGACCGGAATATTTCAACAACTATTTCTGCCTCTTTTATCATAAAAACCTTTTTTCCCTTCCATTTGTTTTGTTTTGATGTAAATGACAGGAAAACAAAGCTTTTATTGTAAAAAGAAGGGAAAAAAATATAATTCTCATATTTCATTTTTCTCCTTTGATTTCACATAGAAATAGAGTTTAATTCTACCTGATAGATTGAGTCAACTGAACCGATTATCTTGATTCTGGTTCAATTCTACGGTTAATGTCCCAATTAATCATTGGGTTGGGATGGGTTCTTATTATTCTGAACTGATTATTAATAATATATAAAGGTCTTCTGGTTTTTCTTGTAAGCTTTGTTATATTTTGTTTTAAAAAGGTAAATTTAGGAGGTATTCTATAGGTTGAAAAATTAGTGGGTGTGGATCCACACCACAGTTTACAACTGTTCTAAATAGTGTATAAATTGTGTAAATGAGACTAATTCACTCTCACAATTGGGTTTTGTAGGTGTGGGTTGTTCCACACCATATTTTTTGATTCTACGTATCTCATATATATACATTTTATGAATGATCTACACAGTCCATCACAAATGTCTAATTTTTGCATTTTATATGATAAATAAATTGAAAAAAAAGGTATTGATAAATTAATATTGACCAATAAACATTATTTTTAATAAAAAAGATACTAAAATAATTAAAAAAATGTTATTTTAATGATAAAAACATTAAAAAATTAATATTTAAATAAATAAATAAGAGTGGAAAAGGAGAACTGCTGGAATTGTGTTATAATTAAAAAAAATAAAATTTAAAAATTATTATATCAAAATTTAAAATTTAAAAAGAAAGAAAAGTATGTAAAAGAGATGTATTGTATCAAAATAGAATGTATAAATGTTGTGGACCAGTCACATCCACAAGATATGTGTGGCCGAAATTTTGGGTTGTGGACGAAAACGATCCACCATATACTGTGGACTGCACCCATCCATAGCCCACTGAACACTGTGACCATCTTGTAGCCTGAACCGAAATGGGTCATCCATGAGATGACCACAAAACCAAAAACCACCTTACTAGTCAATATATAAGACAATTTTGGTTAAGAACACTTATTTAAGACTATCCTATTTTATTGAAAATTGGTTTTGGATATTTATATTGCATTTTTATAAAAAAATATGTATATATATGACACAAATAGATGGAATTTTTGTTTTTCTTTATATAAATTGTCATATAATTTATCAAAATTTTCTGAAATTAAATGAAATTCGATTAAATTTGAATATCCAACATCCTTAATAAATTTAAATTCAAACCAATATTTCTAAAGTACAATCAAATCTTTGGATAGAATCCATAATTTGTATCACTACTCCCAAAACCGTTCCATATGAATCCATACAGTATCTTGCATAGCACATCTCTCACCGTGCATTAGAAACATCCCCCATCAATCTGAGATCGGCTTCTATCAAGGTAAATTTATATCTAGACCAATACTCTTTTATAATCTTACATTAGGAATATCTCCCATGAAATAAAGCACACAAGTATAAAGATATTCTCAATGCATGGCAATAAAAACTGACCAAATGGGCTTTGCCTGACTGAAGCCGAACCAATGCATGGTGACGGGTCCACTTTTTCGGTGACCCCAATTTAATAGTGAGATGTCTAGTGTAGGATCAAGTTGATTGGGTGTTGATCCTGTTGGAACGTGTTTTGTGGCGGGAGATCCAAACTCGGTGGAATGTGGAGTGAAGCTTGCTGAGTGGTGAGCCAATGCAAATTCTTCCAACATGTTCTCTGATACATGTAAGTAAGGAATTGGGATATGCTCTTTACACATGGTGCCTTACAATGACGGGAACATCCCACCGTGTTAGGGGTGGCAACGAGCTGAACTTTTCACGAGCTGTTCGAGCTCGAGCCAAATTCATTGGCTTGATTAATAAATGAGTTGAGCTTGAGCCTACTAGAGTTTGGCTCGTGAAGCTCGTGAGCCGGCTCGAATATATATATATATATATATATATATATA